TCACTCACCCTCTTTCATCTTAGTGATGCTCAGTTTTCGCTGACCCCCGGTGCAGGCCGGGAATGTGAATAGAGAAGAAATTATCCCTTTCCTTCCATCATCTCAGTGAGAGAGAGCGAGAGCGGGGCTGTTGCCGTGCAGATTATGTGCTGTAATCCTCAGGCAGGGTGAGTGTGAATGACAGAGTTCCCTTACACCCCCCTCTTCCTCTACATCGAATGGGAGGCTGGATGTTTCAAGCTTGCAGCGCTTGCAGCACATGTAATGGCGACAGAAGCCACTAATTCCTCCAGCATCCTTCTCTTTCTGAGCCACAGCCGCAGCGTGGAGGCTGCCGGTCCCTGAGCTTCAGCATCCATTCAGGAAAAAGCCAGCCGGAGGGGGGAAGGGGTGGCTCATATACCGCAGCATGTGTGTGAGAGAGTCGCACTGTGAATGGAAAGGTGTGTGTGAGAGGCAGGGTTGTGCACCATTCACAAGTGAACTGAGAACTAATTTGAATCCAATTTAAATTGAGGATGCAGAACTGTATCTGGAATTTGAATCTGGAATCTGGAAGTTTATTGAAGGAAATGTAAAGGTCTCATTCACATGTATAAGCTGTGGTTGCATGCAAATTCAATTTCCAACTCACGACTGAAAGGAAGTTTCCAACGGAAAAGAGAAAGTCTGTGTAAAGAGAATGTCTTGATTTAGACCACGTTTTCTTCCTTTGTAAAGCAGAGCTAAAAATAATACCTAATGGATTCAGCAGATATTAGCATTGAGTGTGGCAGACGAATCAAAAGAACGAGCGATGAGTGAAAGCATAATGAATAATAAAAGCAGGCAGACAAAAGAAAACGAATGGATGAAACACACAATGACAGATGTGAGAGAATTTTGAGTTCCAGTCCTGACTGAATCAGCCATCATGACTACTTTTTATAGATAGTAACCATCATGACGTCCATTTTACATAATAGTACACAACGATTCCCTATTTTGATTGGCCACGCAATGTAAATTAGTAATATGGATTTTGCAGTGAGTCTTTTCTGTGGTGACAGAAAAGTAACAGTTTGAGTGAGTGATTTATTCATTCAGTCAGTGATTATTAAATGAACCAAAGCATTCAAAATGCTGATTCACTCAACTGAATGACTCATTAAATCAGTCACTCAACAGATTTGTTCAAAACACTGGAATGAAACAAGTAAACTGTCTTTATGAGTGAGTCATTGAATCATTCACTCAACTGATTTAATCAAAAACGCTTCATTTAAGAACAAAATGCATTGGCATTGCTTGGAACTATTTTGTTTGACAGAGCAAAAACAGACCATAAAAGACAGATCATAAAAAGGATGATAACTATACCGATAATTATAACAATAACTACATTAGCACCCACACCAACAGATAGTAGCATTCTGTTTATTAACATGCTGCAGTTTTGTTGTCTGGTCGCTTTAAATGCTCAAGCCTTTTAAAGTTTGATTCTGATTGGCTGTTAAGGGCACAACAAGGATTGATCATTATAATGATAACTATGAAGTTTTAATAATCATTCTAATTCTATGAGAATAGGGAGGTCCACACCACAACTTCAACGATAATGACACAAAGGAACAATATTGTTGGAATCACTTTCAGAGTGATTTTTTCCAACTCATGAATAATAAAAACATCGACAGCCAATCAGAATCCATCCGACTTTAAAGAGCTTGAGCATTTAAAGCGACAGACAACGCACACTTATGAAATAGAACATTACTGTGTGTGTTGGTGCGGACGCTAATATATAGTTATTATATATATTATGTTATAATTATAGTTATCTTTCTTGGTGTGAACCGGCCTTTAATGTGTTTAATAGTTCATCAGCTGAAAAAAAATTACTCTGTGCTGTTATAGTATAGTGCTGTGGACTCTATGTGGACTTTTTTTTATTTAGTAAGAGTATTAAAACTTTTTTGTTATTGTTAGTTATCATGCTTTGTTGAACGGATTTTACTGGCAGTATTGTTTTGTGGCTATGATATGATATTCGCCAATAGCAATCTTGCTTTTCTGAAATTGCTTTTTTTCCGAAAATTAAAATCCATCAGTAAACTAAACAGTTGATGGTAGTTGATGGTAGCCATTGACTTCCATAGTATTTTTTCATGTACTATGGAAGTCAGTGGCTACCATCAACTGTTTGGTTACCAACATTCTTCAAAATATCTTCTTTAGAGCTCAATAGAAGAAAGAAACAAACAGGTTTTGGGTTTCATTTTTGGGTGAACTATGCCTTTAATATTAATGTTAACATATTCCCGTAACTCTTGGTTGGAAACGAGTCTGTTCAGTCAACAAACAACAAACAGAGCCGTTTCAACAGCAACCAAGCTTTCATGCTGGGATGAGAAAAGTAGTGAATTTTGTGTGCAGGGCAACATGACATATATTCCTGTATCACTAAATATGCCGATTTCCAGAAAAGACTAGTCATACAGTGATCTAATGCAGATGTAATGTAACACAGATGTATTGGAATCTATTGTGTCTTTGAGAAGTTGTACTGAGACTTGAACAAATCGTGCATTCTTGCTGCATGAAGCAATATAAATTCAGCCATCCACTGTATGATTCATAAGCAAATAATTCAGAGGAAAAGCACACTGTATCCCATCAATTTTTCGTCACCCGCAAACATTCGTTCTCCGTGTCTCTGTGACATTAAACCAGCAGTGTGTTTCTTTATAAACCAACACAGAGTAATAGAAATGTCATTCAGGGCACAGTTGCTGGTGGCAGCGATGACATCATCCCTCACTAATCCCGCTTCCTCTCAGCATGTCATTAAGAGCCAGTGGCCAGTGACCCCTCCGTGTCACTATTGACTGTCCACTCTGTGTTCACAGGAAGCTAATTGGCCTGATTCGGTTGAACAGACGTGTTATCGGCCTCTTCCTGTTGGACATGTAACCGTACTGGAGATTAAGCCCAGATGTTGTGTTCTTTCAGAGGTCTTTGTGGTGACCTGGAGAAAGACAGAATGGTGTAGTTACTGCATCTACCAGCAGAGGCTAATTGGACTATGAACCAGGCAAATCTTGAGCTTTATACATAATGTTAAGTATTCACCAAGAGCCAATCCTAATGGTTAAGCGTTCATGTGAGACGTCTCTCACAGGAGCTACGTTTTTTCTTCAGCTTTTGATCCATTTCATTCATTACAGTCAGCTGTGTGAATTCATTCATGGGTTACCATGGATATGTCTACCCCAAGGTTGATGATGTCAGGAGTGTGCGTTGGTGCATAAGAAGAGACATGCTGCCATCTGCTGGATAAACTGCGCTATATGATTAAATAAGGTCAATCTACTGTACAGTTGAAAGAAATTTAAATCAGTTATGGAACAATGGAACTTTTTTGGATTTTTTTTTATCATTGAAATTTTAATAATCAAATAATCTATTGTAGATACAATAATATATTGTAATCTTCAAAATAATCAGCAAAAATGCAAAAATGTTAATGTAGTTCCCCATCTGTCGGTCACTACGAGTTATGTTGTGATGACGTTAGGGGTTTACTTGGGAGCCCCAATCATCTCTGACTTTAAGAGAAAACGCCAATGAAATTTGGCTGGTGGATTTTGCATGTTGAGCCACTCCCCGTGCATACGGGTATAAAGAGGCGGCAGGTGCATCCACTCATTCAGGTTTTACGCTGAGGAGCTGAGAACGTTTCCCTGGCAACCAGCGTTTGGTTCAAGGTCGTGGCATGGGGACATAACGTCTCCATTCCCTCCATGAAGTGCCAGTCAGAGATGATTGGGGCTCCCAAGTAAACCCCTAATGTCATCACGACATAACGTCTCCATTCCCTTCATCAGGGAACAAGGGTTACATACGTAACAGAGACGTTTTACATTGACCTTTTTGTTACTGTACCTTTAAGGAATTACTAACTTCAAGCTGAAACATTCAGTGTTCATTTTTTCCTGCAAAAACTGCCCATGATGCAGCTACTGTTATGTAGTTTTTACGCATAGAAAAAAATTTGTATTAAACTTTTATTGATTAATTTAAAAACATGTAATTATTTTAACTGATTTTAATAATTAGTTATTTTAAATGTGTGAATTTTTGGGGTAAAATTGTTCTTACAAAACAATATCACAGTATCACAAAAACAGCCTGTGAAACTGTGAGAACAAAGAGCACACACAGTCTCAAAAAATATACGAATAAATAAAAATATATTTTAAAAATCCAACAGGAAAAAAATGACAAAAAATAAATTAGTTTCAATGGGAATTTGAGGGGCAATGTCTGTATTTTTCTCTGATTCATGTCCAAAGTTAAATAGCTGAACAGATTTTCATAAAGTATTCTACTTTATTATTCTATATTGTATTGTTGGATTATATTAATTCTGAATATAACCGCTATATTACCCTAATAGAATCATGTAGCGTAATCATGTAAAACCTGATCTGGAGCAATATGGACATGCAATGAATGTTTAAAACAGATGTTCATTGAAACTGTCATAACTTATATTTATGATGCATAGTTTAGGATACTGTGGCCCGCATATCATTACAGGCAAACAATTCCACCGCAAACATGCCATAAATCATCTGCAAATTATTTGAGCATGTTTGTGGGGATTTTAGCATTAGTAGTACTAGTGTTCTGTCGTTTCCTTTCTACTTAAGTTCACTGACTTCTTAGAGTCCCCACACGACCCCATTTAGTTTGGGGGCCTCTGAACTCCATCACAGCTTGTCCATATGAAAACTCTGACCATTCCTGGCAAGTTGTATGAGAAAACATCAGTATTTCATTTCAGCTAAGATCACGTTCATTTAAGGGGAAATGGAATGGCATGAAACAGGAGGAAGATGTTTGTTCTTATTTGATATGTTAATTTTCTTCTTACAGTTTTTTACGATTGCTTAAGCACAATTTTGAAAACAGGGCCCGGTTTGTCAAAACACTACACCCAATTAACACAACCCTACACCAAAGTAGCAAAAATGCGAGAATGTGAGGTGTGTTGTAAGGGCCCATTTTGGCATGACGGAGGAGAACCCCATGCTGTGAAATGGCAGCGCAAAGGGTGATGTTACCCCCACGTTGCCCTGGGACATTGATTATAGCCCTGTGGCCAATGATATTTCTGCCTCTCCTTCTTGCTTTTGTGAGGTTGAACCCTGCCTCATCAATATATATGAATTCATGCAGGATTTCCTCAGCATCCATCTGCAAAACTCTCTGAAATACAGTGAAAGACAACATTGTGTAGTTCAGGATAGGTCTAGTATATTACAGTCAATGTAAAAAAGTAATGTGTGGAGTATGCAACATCACAGTGCTAAAGTGAACAATACAAACCTCCACATACTCATGCCGCAGCCGTTTGACCCTCTCTGAATTCCGCTCAAAAGGCACTCGATAAAGTTGTTTCATTTGAACCTGATGTCTTTTCAGGATGCGTGCCAGTGTTGACTGAGAGACCTGATGGACATTATTGAAAATGGCATGGTCACCGATAATGTTTGCTTGTAGTTCTCTGAGCCTGATAGCATTATTGGCCAAAACCATGTTTATTATCTCTCTCTCTTGTTCTTGCGTGAATATGGGCCCCCTTCCTCCTTGTCGTTCCCGACCCTCAATCCTATGTAGAGAATAATACATGTAACTTACTGTACAATGTCACAGGAAGGGGTATCACAAGTGCTGATATGGTGCATACAATAAGCGGCTGATTACTGTAACTGTAGACAGATCTTCTTTTACCTGTTTTCCTGTCGAAAAGTCCTTATGACAGATGCCACTGTATATCTGCTAAGATTTGGCTGAACTCTCAGTCCAGCCTCCCTCAGCGTCAATCCGTGGTTCACAACATGGTCCACTAGTGTTGCACGAATGTCATTTGATAAGTTTGGTCCTCTTCTTCTTTGTGCACGTTCTCCTCCTGCTTCAGGTCTTCCTCGGCCTCTGCCTCTTTCTCCTCCTCTGTGTACTCCTCCTCTCACCCTCACTCTTCTTCTGACTCCTTCCATTTTGGTTGAAGGCAGGTGAACCTACCTGCTGCATTTTTACAGTGCTTAAACCTGATTGGTGTGTCTACAATTTAGCAATCATGTGTTTGTGCACCTGATGGCTGTGTTTAACAGATTGGCTCATAGGTGTGGTAATTTGACAGTCAGTGCTTTGGAATTGCAAGGAAGTGACATCATTATATACTTCTGTGTCTGGTGTACACAAGTGTGTTTAGTGTTTTGCAAATCACTGTGTGTAATGTTTTGCAAATAGTGTGAAGCTGACAATGTGCTTACAGTTGTGCAAATCTAGCCTTGTGTTTTGCTCCTTGAGTGTAAGGTTTTGCTAATTGTTGGAAAAGTTTAATTTTAGTGTGTAAGCAATCGTAAAAAACTGTAAATCACACTGATCTCCAGTGAGTGGAAAGGAACTTCCTTAGAGTATTTATAGAGTGTTACATATCTATTTTTGTTATCTAATATATGTCACATTATATTCTATTCTATATAGTATTGAAATGTCAGTAAGGGCATGTGAGTTTCATGTGAGTTAATCTATGTCGAATTGAGATGTTCAGCGAATGAACAGATGACTACAGATGTCATACTTATATGACAGAGATCTGAACCTTTCATTTGTGTGGTAAACTGTGTTTCTGCCCCGTCAGGGTCTTAATTGATTGAACTCTCTCTTTCAGGGTCGGGACTCGTGGATGCGGTCTACTCATTGTTTCATAACCCCACTCTGTTATGGTAAAATGATTCCCTCACGAGACCATATTGCTAGACTCCTTTTTTTTTACTAGCCATTTTAAATTACATTTTTAAACATATTAGAAAACAGTTATCTATATACTATACACATATTACTATATTTTTTAATAGCATGTTACAGTACACTCAAATACTGTAAGTTGTGCAATTGTAAAATCAGGGTCAATGAGAGATTCATTCTGTCTCAGCATCATGTCTTTGTGCTTGAGTCTGGCCTGAGAACATTGTCCACATCACAAGTAAGTAGTCTTTTTTGCTTGACAAAGAGAAAAAAGCCTCTGGTCTGACAGATCCAGCCTTGATAACACTCTCTAAACCTTACTCTTTCTCTCCTCATCCTCCACTCTTCCTCCTCTCCTTCTCAGATTGTTTCCATCTATTGTTCGTATCATCATTCAGTCGCCTGTGCCACTTGTGCACTCTGAACTGGCTCATATTTTGTACAGTTGGTTTGATCACATCATTAGAAACAAGTGTGAACAATTTTGAATCGTTGTGTGTAAACGATGATAACTGTGCTTTAGTTGTATTCAGTGTGATAAGTGTTTAAGTGAATGAGAATGTGTTTAGAGTTTTGCAAAAAGAGTGCATGAGATTTGCAAATACAGCCTAACTGCCTGAACGTGTTTAAGGTTTAGCAGAAAGAGTGCTTTATTCCACAAATTGGTTTAAGCTAGTGAGAATTTGGTTCAGAGATTGGGGTTTAGTGTTTTAGCAATTCAGAAAAACTGTAATAGTATTTAGTATTGAGAAATGGTATGTGTGTTCGTGATGGTGATTTTAGTTACATTGTACATGGTGATGTTTAGTTACAAGAAAGTGAGTCAGCAATAAAGACTTTTATATTGAAAGAGATTGGATCGGGGTTGTACACAAGGAAGTTATTTTTACTTTTAACAACACCTTGTAAGACGCAGCCAACGAACTCACTGAACAGTGCCTCGTGCCTATGACTGAACAGCCGTGCCGATATACAGCCATATCGCACTGCTACTCATGTGATATTGCTCATATATTATATTATATTATATTATTAATTTATTGAGAATTTTCATATATTACAATCATTAAAAAAGCTCATTCTGGAAAAAGGAACAAAAAGGGAAAAGGAAGCATTTGCAATTATTAACAAAGGTTTAAAAAGCATAACCTTGAAGAATTTTTGTTTTTAACCATGGAAAAAAAAAATGTTCTTTATATTTAGACATCTGTCCTGCTGTTCGGCATAGGGGTTGGTGACCATGCTTGAAAAAGCAAAAGACACAAGCAGTAAAATTCCAGGCGAAAAGTTACGCAAATCACATCTGAAATCTTTAATGTATCACCCTGACCCTGTGAGCGGAGCTGCTGTCACCTTTCACCCAGTTTATGATGACAAACTCAGAGCGGCTGTCATTTGTCCTCTTCTGATGAGTTTATAAAGATTTGTTGAATGCAATCTATTGATTGGCAGTATTTTATTTGGCTGATGGCTGATGAGGGGGCAGAATGAGGTCTGCTAAAAAACGGTCAAAGAGATCGATTGATCCTTTCACATATCAATCCAGCAGACAAATACGAAGTCATAATGACAAGAAGGTCATTATAGTGAGCAGCTGTGAGGGATCCTGATGACACACCGTTAATCAGTCAGATTTGTGGCAGTGAAAAGGCATTTAAAGCAAAGGTGGTCTGAACAGTTTTAAATAAGAGAAACGGAATTCCCTGCTGAAAAGACTGCCGTCAATTTCCATGCTTGTTTGGTGCTGGTCCAGTCGGTGGATCAGCACATGTTCCTCACAAGCAATAGCCTACTTGACGAGACTGCAATAGCATGGTCTTTCTGGTGAAATTTTGCTGGTTAAGCTATAGTCAAGAAACACGATGGTTACACTCGTACACCAGCACTGCGTGCTTCACATACACTAGCGACCAGACGTGCTGGTCTAAATAATCATCATCACCATCACCATCATCATCATCGTCATCATCATCATCATTTAACGGGAAATTTTTTTTAAAAGCCTCAGTAAAAAAACCTGTTACTTGGTTTCCTTACCATGTATGGTCAAACATCAAATGAAATTCAACAGGGCAACAAATTCATATTATTATATTATATTATATTATATTATATTATATTATTGTTTTATAATAATGATTAATCTTTTATTAAAATGTAAAATTTTTGAAGAATTATAAAAAGAAAACTAATAACATGAATAACATAAAAACTATAAACATATTTTAAAATCATTTGAATAATTATAGTGTGCAATTTATGTTTTTAAAAAGTAACAACTATTATAATAAATATATTATATTATTGCTGCAAATTTACTAGAGTGTTACTGATAAAATGGTGTTTATTATTAACATTATAATTGTTATTAATATTATTATTGTTATTACTATTATAATATAATATAATAATTACTGCACATTATTATACTTTTACTTAAGTTGTATGGAAGTAATTTATAATAATAATAACAATAATAATAATAAAACTATTATTATATACCTTCTAATTGTATAATATAGTATAATATAATTACTGCACATTAATATACTTTTACTGAAGAAAGTTTTATGGACGTAATTTATAATTATTATAATAATAATGACAGTGTATTATTATTTAAAATAATTTTGCAAAAAAAAAAAAAAAAAAAAGGATGTTCCCAGAAGTCTTGGCATGGCACATCACATTATATTTCAATTTTTCCTTCAAAGGCCTGTTTTAAATCATAATAATAATTTAAAGACTCTTTAAAATTCTTTAAAAACTGATGAACTTTAATTCATCCTGTGTTCTATTTTTACCACAAAGCAGACTAAAGTAGTTCACACTAATATTTTAACATTATATCAGTTAATGAGCTGTTGACTATAAAGACACGTTTTCTTTAGGTAGGTAATAAAGGCTGCTGTTCAGTTCTTGATGAACGCTGGGTAAATTCTCATGGTTTCTGGTTAAACATGTCCCAAATTGGAGCATAGATTTATGATTTTCACTGCTCTAGTCGGCATGTTTCCTGCGTGTGAGAAGTGTCAGAAGTGTGGCCGCTGCTTACAGGTCAGCTATGCATCTCACTCAACAGGACCAAAAGCTTGATGTAGTGTTGAGAAACCAGGGCGCCACAGACTCAACTCTCAAAGTAAGTGCCAAAAATTGTTCTAAATAAAAACAGCTTGATCCTGAGGAAAACAAAAACAGTCTTATCAATTGCTGTTTGTTTCTCTTCATCGCATGTGTTTTAATGGAAAGCCCTGGAATTGTTCCATGGGCCTTGTTTTGTCAGTTATAGTCACTAGTTAGTTATCTGAATGGGAAACAATACTAGTGTGCATTGTTTTCTGGTGGATTATGGGTTAACAGAGGTTAATATACATCTGTGGTCGTGCTTATTAAACAACAAGGTCAACATTTTACATAACTGAATGCAACTGTTGTAGTTCAAACTGGATTCCAAACTTATAACCATCTTGTCATTATGGAATTATGCAGCACTGTTCGAGTAATCTGAGAAGTTAATAAGACATAACTTGTGGTCTTGAGAGGCCCCATATGGTACGTTTTTGTGAAATTCTTGTTGCCACCACATTATGTATTATTAATATGCTTTATAGTGCCAGTTTCCAAACACACATAACCACAAAATCAGAAGAATGTTGAATGCAGTGAAACTGCATCAGAAGTTATACCGTCTGATTTCAATATGATGTAAGAGAAACATTTGCAAGTATTTTTCTAAACATCCTTAAAACAAGATACAACATTACATTTTTTGTCCCTTATTGAATATCCTATATTTTTATATGAAATATTTTTAAGTATAAATCTCAATAATTTATACATTTTACGAATAAAACTTGCCGATAGGGTGAGAAAATGTTAAAAAATAAAGTCTGATTGCAAACCAGAAAAATCACTTTCGAAAACAGTGAGTTTTCTAAACATCCTTAAAATAAGACTATTTTTTTATTACTGAATATCACACATTTATTGAACTAAATATATTATACATTTTATAAATAAAATCCACCACTGTGGTGAGAAAAAAAAAATTAAGGATATATTTTCTGAGAATTAATCAATAAATAAATTAAAATCATACATGGCCTATTTATTTATTTAGTCATTCATTCTCTGAGAATATATAATAATTTAAATATGTTTATTTATTTAACATACATTTATAGAACATTACATTACATCTAAGATATATAACAGATGAATAAGCTCCTGTCTGTCATTTTGTTTCATGCTGTGGAGGAAAAGGCTGATAAAGACCACCAGAGTAATTTAATTACGAACTGAAAACAGATTTATAAAGGTCAAATGGCTTCGGGGGAAACAGTGGGACACCGT